CTCTCTCTCTCTCTATATATATATATATATATATATATATATATATATCCAATAAAATTTCCGTATTAATACCTTCAACTATCGATATCTCTTATTACACTCACTGTTTATTTATTTACCTTTATTTTAATTTATTTTCACTATTTAATTTACTTTCAATATATAGTTTTTATTCATTTATATTTAATCAATAATATATTTTTGTTGCAAAACGGAGATACACTAGAAATTTGTTATCTAAAAATTAATTATCTAATATCCAGATGTAGAAAATTTCTTGAATCTATTGTTTTGAAACCTTTTTTTAACTTTTAAATTTGTAAATCGTTAAATAATTGTTTTTCTCGATGATATTTAAATTCTCAAATTTATTTTAACGTTTTCTAATATCCACAATTATACAAATATGAAAAAATGTATATTACGTAATGCTTGTAGCTACCTAACAATCCATTTTCAATTAATTTACCCGTTAAACTAAAGTTTATTTCGAGTTTAAACTCACTCATCATCAATCCCACCACCAATTTTCGAATGAAATTTCCTGGGCGCGAGTTCTCAGATTTATCGCAGTCGTAATTATTTTTAGCGCGATAAACCGAGCGTATTTACAAACGCGTCAATTTGTAAAGTTCAATAAAGGGCGGAATTTACGAGAACGAGTGGAAATTAAAATTCATCGAGCTCGTTCGCTACGTATATAAGAGAGAAAAGGATAGAGAGGTAATGAGAGGGAGAGAGAAAGAGAGCACAGAGAGAGCAGAGAGAAGTTGAGAGAGAAAAAGGGAGAGATTGACGTAACTTGACATGGAAATGATGCACGTTGCGAATCGCTATTTGCAGATTTAAAATCTAATATCCTTGTTGACGTGAGGATGGCTGTTGTACCCAGAGGTACATTCAATTTAGCGATATTCTCGGTTACCGCACGGCGAGGTCGTTGCCGTCGCACGCAACGACGATAAAAATAGTTGGCCGAAATCCAAATGGGTTCGCAGCTCGGATTTTTCTCTCGGCGAACAGCGCGAACACAATGGCTGCCACTAGGTCACAACTCGTCCCTTCCGAACTAAGAAACCTAGGACAATGAATACAATGCGACTAACTATGTCGGGTGTCCTAAAAATTCCGTTCTATCTTTCGCCAGTTTACTGACAAATTTAGAGTTGATTTTCCTTCAAGGAATTTAATCGGAAACCGTTGCTACTATCTTCCATTACGGTAAACTTTAGCAACTTTATAATTTGTTAAAAATATTGCGCGCGCACGCGCACGCGTGTGTGTGTGTGTGCGTGTGTGTGTGTGTGTGTGTGTGTGTGTGTGTGATATAATAATGATAAAATTTAGAATAAAAATGTATGTAAGCTTTAAAATATTTAAAAGTGGCCCATTATTAAAAATAGAACTCTCGTAATATCATTTGCTAATTGCAGATTTGCTCGTAAATCAGTTCGAAAAAGGAAAAATCTTCTAAAATCTTTCCAACATTTTGCTCGTCACTCTCTAAACAATCAACAATCTTACGCTTCTTGCGGAAACCTATAACGTATATATCTTCCCCCCCCTCTCTCTCTCTCTCTCTCTCGCACTGTCTCTTCTCTTTTGCGGTTAGAGAGAATTAGAAAAAGTAAATTTCCTCCATTTCAGATTCACCGATAAAGTACGGCAGATGAAAAATGCCCTCCGTTTTCAGGAGCAACACTCCGCATCAGGGAATAACAACGTTGCATGAAACTGCACGAATTGGAGCGTTGAAGGAAGTGCACTTTAACTCATCATCCCCGCCAGACCACCCCCTCTTTTTCCCCCCGCCTCTCTCTCTCTTTCTCTCTCTCTCCTCTTCACATCCTTTCCTCGCCCATTGATGCAGCGTGCAACATTTTTCCCGCTCCATGTCGGGTCCCGCTTTGTCGAGGGGTGTCTGAGCCGCTATAATCGATCTTCGTTGTATCGTCGAGACCTACTTACGCCAGAGTAGTCTTGCATAGCTTTCGGATGCGAGAAGACGTACATGTAGCTCTTCGGGTTCGCCCTTGAATGCAAATTGGCAGTCATTATTAACGGCGCCACGGTGCCGCTATCGGAGAGAGCCTCCAGCACCATGTCCCGATTCTTCATGGCGTACTCGCTCGTGAATCTATTCGAAAAAGCGCCATATTGTTCCAACACTTTTGATAAGATTCGGCGCTCCGGTTCCAGCTCGAGCGTCGCCTGAAGAACATACAGAAAATTATAAGTTTTAAAATGAAAGGTATATGGAGTCCGTGATAATGTGGAAGAATCTAATCATCGCAACACCCGTTTACAAATCTAGAAATTGAAGGATTGCTCTAGAAGAAATGCAGCAATTTCTAATCTAAAGCAGAGATTCTAAGGACTTAGGAGCTGAAGGGTAGAAGAAGGAAAAGGAATTGAAGAACGTAAGGATCTGGAAATTTGAAACCCAAGGAAAGAAAATGTGTCTCCCAAGATAAATCCAATAAGAACGAAGGAAAATAAATAGAACAATGATTGCTTCATATTGGGATAAACGAACTCAACACACGAGCAAATTTACTTTGGCATAGTCTTGCAGGATTTCATCTCGTTGTCCATCAGAAATGCCGTGTAACAAAGCAACAGATGGCAGGATGTGAAATTTCTCGGATTCCGTTACACCGTACATCAGATCGAACCTAAAAATAACAATTTGTTATTTTTAATTTGCTAAATGTAAATGTAGGATTTGCTGCTTTAAATACTTCAATCCTTTTGTTTGCTTAAGAGAGCAAACGTATCTCCAAAAATCCATTAATCATAATGAATATTAATAATAGCCATCGGTAAATATTATTGACAGCTCCATTTATATCTCACGAACTGTTTTTCAGTAATTTATCATTTTAAGTAAAAACACCATGATTAAGATTAATACAAGGATTATTATACCATTATTATTGTACAATAATATTATTATATTATTATATTATTATATTAATAATATTATTATTGTACCACGTACAAGGATTATTATATCACATTCCGTGTTTCCTATATTATTCAATAGAAAAATCATACCTGCCAAAAAGCTCGATATTCTTCATTAAATTGAGCGGCTTATTGTTGAGGACATTGCTGTTAGGCGATCCGATCAACGGTGCGTAGGCCGGCACGTATTTCGGCTTGTCCTCGAATTGCTCGTCCACGTGTAGCAGCCTGTCTACGTCCTGGTTGCGCAAGCAGAGCGCCAGTTTGGTGTCGTCGGTGTCGGAACAGAGGAGAGCGTGCGCCACCTGAAAAACGATCCCCGCCATTGTTCACGAGCGCAATGAACGCGGCCAACGACCCTGTACCCTCGGCATCGATGTAACTATGTAACGATTCTTCGCCGTGACGAGCAACGATATGTCTTTCCGTTCGAATTCAAATCGCGAGCGGAGCAGAAACACGGCGCCATCGTTTGTGAAACATATGTTACCACTGTAAAAACTATGATAAACGCGGTTTTTCGGATATTTTGAAATTTCGGAGGTTCTTCAATTCAATAGTGATTTAAATGAAACTTAGAATTTGAGGATCTAGAAGAGTATCATAATATGACAAAGCTCATATAGATAAAAAGCTCGACATTTTAAAAGAAAAACAAATCTAAATATCAAGAATTAATAAAAATGAAAAAAATAAAGAGTAAAGTGGAAGAATAAGAATTTAAGGATTTTTAAAGGCTTGCGATTTCAAACATTTAAAATTCCAAAAATTTTAGACATTTATATATGAAAATACATTACGAATACCATAATCCATATGAGCCATTCTATTATATAATTTGAAATATATCTTCAAAATTCTTCAATAAATGTGTAGAATTGTAGAAATTTTTAAGGAATTAGCAAATTCTTCGTATAAAATCAGATTCGACGTTTCAAGGATCTATTATAAGTATCGGATATTGAATTTTACAAACTCGAGAAAAACTAGAAATGTATAAGAGATGTCTTTCAAATTCTGAAATTAAGCCAATCATAGAATTAATGATAATAGATGCCGCATATAGCGATTTGTCATTCCGCAAAACTGAAATCCGAGCGCATCAATCCTCATCTCGCGTTTTTATTCGCGACTATTATGCAATGGCGTCTTTCTTTACCTTCTGGGTAATTTGCAATGGCGCCTTGCCGAAGGCGTCCGCGCTCATTGCTGATCCAGACATGAGAATAGCCCGTTTAAACATCTCTGCAACAAAATAAAAATATTGCTGACTGATAACTTAGCATTTAATATCGTTCAGTAATTCTCAAATTTTAATAAAGTTTTATGCAGAACAAAAATAAGATCGTCAAAAATTAATTTCTTTAATTCTGTTAATTCTTTTAATTCAATCTTTGCCACCGATTTCTGCACTTATTTGAAAGATCCTTGATTATAATTGAAGAAGGAATTTATAAAATCATCCATAATATTAACATTACTTGTTAAAACTGTTTTTCTTAGCAATAACAATGTCGTATAATATTTATAATTTCCCAACTATGGTCTAACAAATGATCACATTTATGTCATGTGTGGATAAAGAAGGGGAGTGCCTGTTATAAATATAAAGTGGCACCAATATTTGAGAACCCTCGGGCATGGCACGGGCATTTCTGTCTCGACGTGTAAAATATTAAGTCCGGTTATTTTTCATTGCACAATATAATTATTGGCCGGACGTGGTGGCATTGTGCGCCCGGCCGGAAGAGAAAAGTTCCTTTTCCCGGCCGCCATTGCGAGCCGGTCGGGTGAAAAATGGTCGACATCTTCTTTCTTGCTTTTGCACGTTCTCGCTGACCCTGCTGAGCACCGCCGAGTACTCGAGAGTGCTTGAGTGCTCCGTGGTCGATGTGTGCTCGCCATTGAACACGTGTAGACTACCGATTCTTAGTCCCTTGTCAAACTCGGAAATATCACAATGCAAGTTCTTGTACGAATCGGAAAAGAAGAAACTCAAAAGAAGTAATTGGAAGTTGTTGAGATGCGAATAAACGACTATTCACTGGTAGTATCGTAATTTAATATTACATTATATCCAATAGTTTGTCCAATTACTTCAATAGTTACTTAATAATTATATAAATAATTCTTTAAAATGTTTCAAATTATCATTGCTTCTTCATAATTTTATTACAATAAATGTCCACTTTCAATTTTAATCACAAATACAACAAATTTTTCATGATCAATAAATCATTCAAAAGCACATCGATCGAATATTGTTTCGACCATACATGTGGGATGTATTGCATTTAATGCAAGTGCACGTATGCCTATCTCTCTTGCTCTGATTCCTCCAATTAATCCCACGATTATCTCTCGCCGACTCGGAAATCGTGATCCCTATATGCGATCACTGTGCGCTCCTATGACTATGGATAATGTTTCCAATTATAGCGAGGAGAGGGATTAGCTCGGATTGCATATAGTCCTTTGGTTCTTGCGAGCGAGAATGCCGGATGGATGTTCAAGTATTCTTTTTCCCCGGAACGATTGGCAGAGAAATTAGCAAGAATCAAATGACGATAAAATAGGAAATGGAAACTAAACCATAGAAAGCAACATTAACAAAGAAAGACTTTATAAAAGAAACAAGAAGAAAACGATTATGTTAATATAATATATAAATTTTTGTTTGTTTACTTTTATCGGTGGCATATGGACTGATTAGAAGTAGATTAGCAAAGATAGCCCCGGTTCCGTGGCCGATCAAAGTAACTCTATTAGGGTCGCCGCCAAATTCCGCGATGTTTTCCTTTATCCAATATAATGCCGCTGCTTGATCTAACAGTCCGAAATTGCTTTCTGTATCGTCTCTAAGTCCAGGTCTCAGGAAACCTAACAACAAAAGTCCCACAATTACTGTAAAAGTAAATATTTAAATGATTAACTATTTTTAAACATAAAAAAGGAAAAATAGTTTGAGTAAGCTGAAACTAAGAATATAATGAACCTTGAAAGTCTGAAATTTATAGACCTATGGACTCGAAAGTGTAAAATCTCTAAACAAAGTAACAAGCGAGAATTTCTTGAACCAATTAAGGAACCTAAAAAGTCAAGGAAGTATAAACTCGCGGATTAAAGAACGGTCCATTGATCCAAGGTTGTACCTTTAAATATTTCAACGGTAAGACCTGTTAGAACTGAATATCTAAGAATCCACGAAAGGAAGAAGTAAAGCTCATTAAAATAAGTCCCATAAATACCCGCCACTCGACAGCTTGAAAGCTTCCGAGACACATCTCTCCTTTTTTTTGTTTCTTATTGAGAAGGATCTCGAATAACTGGGATTCCAGGTTTCAAGATCCCCGGGGACTCGTGTATTCAGTGTCCCAATTAATTAGCTCCGCGGAGATGCAAAATTCTCCCCTCGTGCTTAAACATGAAGCACTTTCGCGCGGTAACGCGATCGCCAGGGCTCTTTTTGCTCCGGCAGCCGCTTCGCGCTCGGGACCATATTTTTCCCCTGTTTTGCGCAGGGCGGACATGGCGGCGGCAGGGCGGGCTGAAGCTATCCGCAGGCTCCTCACGGGCTAACTCCGGCCGCCTAGAGCGGGTCGGGGGTTACTAAGCGCTTCCCCAGCACTTTAACCTAATTTATGATTATGGTTTCGCGTCCGCCTCTTTTTTTCTTCCGCCAACCACTCCACTTACCGGATATACCGAATGTACCCACACCCGCGTACACGTGCGCGCACCACGAGCTCTCGTCTATTTGCATCGCGCCGTCGCTGTCATCTCGCGAGAAGGGATTGCCGGAATTTCGCTGTTAACCCCTTCACAGGACGACCACTGTACACGACAATTTCGGATTGCAGGTGCCGCGATGCGCCGCGCTTCTGGATGGCAGTTTTTAACGAACTTTTTGAATAATGACGCTTTCGCATGACCGCCCCTCGTGCAACGAGAAATATATATACTATTACTACATCAGTTATATACTTTTTTTTTTTACGTAACAATGAGAAAAGTGCACGCCTGGATAATACACGGAATAATTTAACGTTTTTTCATACGAGAAAGAACCATGCCGCAATCTAGCACGACCTCATTGTTGTTAAATCGCTCGTATGAATACGAATATTTTTATAACTGATTCGAGCAATCCGAAAGATTAAACTTTCATATTACATCTACGTTACCTTCACGTATTTCACAAGTGCGTAAGACGATTTTTTCTTTTAAATTTAAAATAGCTGTTTGCGATTAAGCTGATACAGCGGAGAGCATCATTTATACTTCCGGTGACGTGATAAATCTAGTGCCTTGTATCGTGTGACCTCGGTAAACTTTCTTTGAAGGCAAAGTCCAATATTGAAAAGCTCGAAGCGATAAAAATTTAGATAGGAAGTTTGCGAAGCGCAGGCAGCAGCAACACAGCAGCAGCCTTGGTAAACGACAAACCGTAACGAAGTTATTTATACGACACGGTATACAGTAAAAGTATATTAGGCGTTAGTACTTTTCCGCTTGGTGGATCGATCGACAGCCCTTCGCTGTCCATAGATAAGAGCAACAAAGGAGTAAATTTGAATTCTCGCTGCTATGATCTGTGTATCTGTATTCTACGGTTCTTTGACAAACTTGTGTTTCTTACCTAGGATACCAAGTCGAAAATTAATTGTAACAAAAATAACGTTGCCGTAAGCCGCCAATATAGTGCCATCATAAGGATTACCACTATTCCAGTCGAAACTTTCACCTTGGATAAACACCATAACCGGATACCTCGGATTTTTCTGACCTGAAACGAGAAAAGGATTATAAAACATAGCCATATAAATATTTATATCGCAAATGTAATTTGCGCTAATCTCGTTATTGACATGTTTGTTTAATTTTTTTAATTAATAAAAATCTTTTTAGCATTTCTTCAAAGATTGTTTTATATTAATCGGCAAAATCTCGATTGCAGTATTATACTTTTGGCGATCGGCAATACTTTATCCTCTTCAGCGATGGTAATTTTTTAATTGTATTTAAGAAGCTTTCGGGTCTTCTGGAACGCTTTCCTCGGAGGATCTCTGATTTACATCAGGCGAAAAATTATCGCCTGAGTTTGTTCGCGAAAATGGAAGCATAGGATTAGTCGTGAAATTTATATCACCTCCTTTGCAAACTATTCACACAGTGAGTTTTCGATATTAGGGTAACTATAAATTCTTCGCCATCCCTATCCTTCGAACGACGTAGTTTCCTTTTAGCACGCGATCCGCAAATTAGACTGGGACGACAGTCTTCTGTGAGATTTATCGGAAAATCCTTTCCGCCAAACTTTCTGCTGACATTTGAATAGCGAATTTGTCGCTGATTGTAAGTAAATCATTCCACCTGCGAATACGGCAGTAAAGCATCGGTAGATCAAACGTGATTGTCAGTGATATAAGTGTCGATACTTGTGAGTTAGACAACAGATTATTATTACATTTCAATTGTTTAACAAAACTTCTTATTTCCTCTGAAATTAATTTTCTAAAAAAATACTGTTATAAAACTAAATTCACTTTTGCCCCGAATATTTTAAGTTTTAAAATAAATATATTTAAAAGGTCTCTTTTGAATGAGAGATAAAACGATATAAAGGATCCGAGAAACGCAAATATCATTTACGTGGCGGGCTACATCGGGAATGAAATGACAGAGATTTCATCCCTTGGCGACTTCGAGAGGCGGCGATCTAAAAACTCATTTAGCCGCGACGCTTATCCCGAGATTTAATTAACGGTTTCAATTATCACCGACGACCGTTCGTCGAACTAACGTATCTCCTATTTCCTCCGAAACGCTCGATAGAATGGCTGGCGCGCACCCGATACATCTCGATAAATCAAGACACTCGATCGTGACATTCTCCCGACCGAATCTTCTTGCCTCCCTTCTGACAACGACAACTCATCCCATATATCTCATGATGTGAATATCGATTTATCAGTACTTAAGGACCTCAGGAATAAGGTAGAGAATAGTTGGTCAACATGTATTTAAATAGAAAATAGAAAAATATTCGCGAAAATAAAGCCTAAAACAGTAGACCATTTACGCGTGCTTGTTTCGCTCTCTCCCTCTCTTTAAATAAATTTATAATATAACATAACTTCACCCCCATTATCATATTATCGAAGATGGTCATCATACTTTCGTTTTCTCCAGCCTAAAGCCTTATATAATTATAATGTGCAGCGCTTTCCTTCACGCAAGGGCTCTGTGCATTATCAAAGCCCATGATATTTATGGAACACAAACGACATTGTAACGGGCATATATTCCATCTCATTTCTCCTTTACGAGGAGCACTGCGATGGTTGGCGCACAATCGCGTCCGCGCTCGCGTCCCTCCGTCGGGTCCTATACATCATGGCGATCTCGAGCCAGAACAAGCGCCAGGAGAACAAGAGAAAGCGACAGGGACACGCGATCGCCGCGAAATTTACATGAAAATTGAAAGGGGGATCGATCGATTTGCATTCTGCATAAAATTGATGTATCGCGAATCACATGCGCGCGGAGATATTTTCATCTTGCGTCACGTGAGCGCGCGGCTCGCGCGCGTGCAACGGAGCCCGCCGCTGCCATAAATCACTTCGCGTGAAGCTATATCCTAATAAAAGGAAAACCATTCCCTCCCTCCCCTCCGCCCCCCCCCCATTCCAAACGATGGTGTATTTTTCGCTATAAAAAAAGCACGCTCGTAACTTGCTCGAAACGTTTATGAAGGCCGTCTATGCGAGATGCATTTCCGTACGTCCAAGAAAGCGTCAAGACGGTCTGTTGAAATCAGATAATGGGATTTCTCAGATACAAATGGAAAAAATGATAGATGCAGATATAATTAATATTATACAGTAACAGGACAAATAAACATACATAAATTAAGTAGGATGACTGATATAAATCAATTTCTTAATGTACGTTCTAAATGTTGTTTGCGAGAAATAAAGTATCGGTTAGATTTATTAAAGACTAAGATAGGTTGTATATATCGGCAGATTAATCGAAACTCTTCGTAAGTTATCCAAATCCGTATTGGTAACGGGAGGAGCTATCCGATCGCTACGTACAAATCAATTCAATATACGAACGGTTTTTATCGCGCGGCGTAATCAGTTTTATTGGTGTGCTGCCTCTGGCTGGCACGAGATAAATATTTACGAGGCGTCGCGGTGCGCAGAAACGTCGGTCTCGTAACTCACGGCGTCTCGAAGAGCGACCTTCTTCCAGTTGGTTCGCATGCTCGTGTAAATAATGGATTTACAGCCCTTTTACGGCGTCTCCATATGCCCGGGGAAACCGGTTGACGCGAGCGAGCGCCGCATCGATAATGGTGCTGTAAATCAACGAAAATCTCCCTAAAGATCGACCGATACTCTGTCCCTCCCCCTTCCTCGCCTGCTCCTCTCCTCTTCCCCGCCAGTGACATGGAAACAGCTTCTTTTGCGAGCGCTGGGAAAAACGGGGCGGTAAACCACCCCAGGACACACGAAGGGTGGAAACGCGTCAGCCTTCGCCATCTTGCGAAGCTTGCAGGAAACTCATGACACCCCCGCTTGCGAAAGCTCTGTACAGATGTCGGCACAAATATTATTTTGCTCGGGGGTGGAAATGTCATTATTCGTAAGACTTTCACGCAAAAGCCTCGCAAATCAATACGCTCAGCTCGAGCCCGCGAAAGTCCGCCATCTTTAATCATCTCCAGCCAAGTAACGTTCTTTTGTTTCTTTTTTCAATTCCATTAAATTATATAACATCAATCCCTTGTTTTCCAGCAGGGCATCAGCCAACTTTGCAGGTTGTTGATTCTGTTGTTGCCATTAAAATAATTTAAAATTGTAACCGCGGTAATAATAAAAGAAAAAAAATTAATTAATTTTTACGTTTCACTTAACTAAATGAAACAAAAGATTTGCAATTTAATTTTAAATATTTTAATAGCATTAGATGATAATCAATTTTAGAAAGTTTGATGAAACAGATATAAGTTTATAAAAGTAAGAATTTCAAGATTATTTATATATCCCGAGATATGTATGTGTATGTGTGTCAGAGAGAGAATTGTGTCTATATTCATGTGAGTTATTTTTCCATCACTCTGTACTTCCAGCTTTTCAACGAAATCCCTGGCTGGTATCACCAGCCATCTTCGGTCGCAAGCGACGGGAATTCCCGCAGTCCCGGTAAAGCGGTATATTCGTCTCGCTCGCGCAAAGTGCGGAGTCGTGTCGGGAATTTTTTGCGAAGCGGCCGTTTCGCAAAATCGCGCGAGCTGCCGACTGAACGCCGGAAATTGGAAGAACGACGGAACATGTACCGACCGCGAGCCTCTCCGCTTTCTTTCGCTTTATCCCCGAGGCAAACCTGAGAAGCTTCTTGGCTACCACCTTGTTACGCTTAATTTCAATATATCTCAGATCTACTTGTACGACATGGAGCATTGCAGTATCATAAATGTTTTATTATTTTATTGTAATTATATAAATGTATTTATTAAATGTTTCTACACAATTCGATTATTAAAAATAATTTTTAAAGATTAATTTAAAAATAATTCATTTATAATTTTGAGTAACATATACAAACAAAGTAAAATAATTATCTCTACATGAATCTTCTATTTTCATTAATCACTTCTACCTTGCTATAAGTTTACTAAGAATACAAAAACGGGAGGAATTTATTTATTACAAAACACTACCTTCTTTTCTTGTTACAAACGGATTATTAGGATTTATCGGCTACAGTCTTTTTTTCTGCATAGAATACGTTTTTTCCCTTATCTGTCGTGCCCTCTGTCTCTCTTAGAAATCTCAGATGCTGCAAAATCCGAGTTTATACCATCGTGCCTAATCCGTAGAGCGATCGAGTTGTTAAATCCTGTGATTAGTGGGATTTCGCGCTCTTTCTGGCTTTTCGAGGAGACCACGGTACCGTGAGAGATCCGAGTGTTCGATACCGATAGTGCGGTGTTGTAGATACATGGTTTGGCAAAGCCTTCCATTATCGTGGACGACGTTATTCAATCCGTAGTACACGTATTCCAATGTACACGCGAAGCGTCTGGAGCAGATAGGATGACGGAACGGTGACCCTCTCACGTGTGCTACTCTCCATAAACGTGCACGTTTATCGACCGCCCGTAATGTATTCGACTGGAAAATTCGAAATCACTCTTTCTTTTTCTTCTCTAAATCTATCGGGACCAGCGACATTTTATAAATTATGCCTAGAGCACACTTTAGACGATCTATAATTCACGTCAAATTTCACGATAGATTTTTAATTTATAATTTTATGTATCATATATCTCGATATAAATTCATATAATATTCTATATTTTATATATAGATATATGTATTTGTATTTTTCAAAATTTTTTTTTGTATTACAACGAAACGCATAAAAGTATAAATAGAATTCTATCCTGAATCCCCACACAAATTATGGATTATCTAGAAAAAGCTTTTTGCAGTAAAAATTTAAAGTTGGTATTTTAGTAGTAGGTAGTATATTTTTTATGAATAGCTGATCTTTATATAAAAGACTGAATTTAATTATATTGAATTAAAGATGTCGATTTTTATTACAGTGAGATGCTAATAGAGAGGACGAAAGACCAGTCAATTATATCCTTTTTATCTAAAATAGTATTTTTGGACAATTTTTTATATTATTGTGTAACAAAATTACGTTCACATATTGTCTAACAGAATATTTCGAACTTTCTGACATCATGTTCCATTATTTCGTTCT